ATAGGTACAGTCAGGCTAATCTTATTGAAAAGAAGAACTTCGAAGAAAGTAGCACTTAGCAAAGGCCGACACTTCTAGAGATGTTTTACATTTTCTGAGATACAGAAATGTACATATTGCACTTATCTATTCTCGGTTCTTAAACAGGAGTGTATCAAAACCTGGAGGTTTTGTTTGTTCGTTTGTTTGCTGTTACTGTGGTTAGAGAGAGAAGTCTCACTATGTTGCTCAAGCTGGACTCAAACTCTGGCTCAAGCTGGGACCAAAGAAACATGCCACTGTGCCCAGCTTCAAGAAAACATTTTAAACATACACATTCAGGCCTTATTAGATCTATAATATCAAAAGCTTCAGGGAAAAGCCTAAAATTTTAGATTTTTACCAAAATGTGCTGAGGTCACTATAATGCACGATTCTGAGAATTCGTGCAGCAGGCAGTCCCTTCAGTCTCATCCCTCACCCACACGGCTAAGTCCCTTCATCAGTTGTAGATGTGGCCAAAACAAGAAGAGTAAGAGATAGAGTCATTTTTTAAACCTACATTTAATTTTCATGGGTATGAGTAGATCAGCGACAAACAAACTCAAAATCCAACTCAATTTTGTTACCAATAAGCTCCTTATCTCCCACCTTTCCATCAAGATATTCTAGATTTGAGAGGAAAGTTTAGACTCTTAGATCTAAGTGGCTGTTTCTGCCTGGATGGGTATTAAGTCCGTTAATAATTTGTTTCATCTTCTGTTGAAGTATTTCTCATTTTGTCACCACATGTTCACTGCCAATATGCTTTCCTCAGAGTCCTCCTAAAATTAATCTCTAGGCCAGTTTCAACTCATTCTCTTTTTCAAACCAAAATTTATTAGCCCCAAAGCTAAAGAGCACCTTGTCTCAATACATAAACTGGAAGAACAACAAACTAAAAAAAACTCTTCAGGCCGGGCGCGGTGGCTCAAGCCTGTAATCCCAGCACTTTGGGAGGCCGAGGCGGGTGGATCACGAGGTCAAGAGATCGAGACCATCCTGGTCAACATGGTGAAACCCCGTCTCTACTAAAAATACAAAAAATTAGCTGGGCGTGGTGGTGCGTGCCTGTAATCCCAGCTACTCAGGAGGCTGAGGCAGGAGAATTGCCTGAACCCAGGAGGCGGAGGTTGCGGTGAGCCGAGATCACGCCATTGCACTCCAGCCTGGGTAACAAGAGCGAAACT